GGGTTGGGGAAATTGCAAGGCATGATCACACAGAGCGTTGATACTAACACTATCCACCTTATAATTAAATAAATAAATTTAATACATAATAGGCTCCAAGGACAACCTCCCCAACCTCAGCACGGGCCGCTTTGAAAAAAACAGCTGAGAGCATGCTGCAAGGTTGACGTAGGCGGAGCCCAGGGTCGCGGAGAGTTCACAGTAGCCACAGACATAGGTAAGTCAAAAAGATCATCCGGTTACACCGCATTGCTTTAAAGTAACGTTAAAGTTCAAAATTCAACAGCAGGAGTAGGCTAAATTATCGATCCTTACGCTCGCTCCAATTGTAAACCAGTCTACGAGCTACATCGATGAATCACTGCCCATTTAAAAATCCAATACTGAATGTTTAGTAGTTAGTATTTTTTACATAACCTGACAGAAGCATATGACAATCAGCATTTTCTTCTTTGGTTCTTTCGGTGAGGTCACGTAGAATGAGAGTAAAATAATAAATAACACAATAAAATTCTCACGACGTTTCGGCCACAACGCAAGCGGCCGTCTTCATTGCGTTGCGGCCGAAACGTCGTGAGAATTTTATCGTGTTATTTTATTACTTTATTCTCATTCTACGTGACCTTACCGAAAGAACCAAAGAAGATGAATCCTTGCAGTCACGAAAGCTTTAAATCGAAATCAGAATTTTTTCCTAAGTCAAAACGAATTCTCTAACCTCCGGACACAAGAAAATAATCACGCAGGGTTAATTTACGGTTAGAGAGGGAAAAAAACGCAAGAGAGGCCGGAGGCAAGGGTGGCAGGGGCCTGCGGGTGCCCATGTGAAGGTGGCCTCACGCCAAAGAAGACAGACGCCTTTTCTTCCCACAGCCAGCGCCAATAAATAATTGCTGCCCTGCCTCTGACACCACGGAGTACGAGCCTCCGACCTTCAGAGGCATACCTCCTGACTGAGGATATTGAGAATACCTGATAACAAATGATAAGCTTATACACGGAACGGCGGGAATTAATGAGGAGCCTTGAGACGCATGGCGGTGTAGACCGGATAAAGGCGCAGCCCTGAAGCGAGGGCGGGAGAGACCCCAGCGGGTGTCTGTGCTAAAGCTAGCAGTTGCACGATAATGGGGCAGAGAGTGTGGGGCAGAGACTGAGACAGACAGCGAGAGAGTGGTGGACCGAGAGTGCAGCAGAGACTGAGAGAAACAGCGAGAGAGCGGGACAGGGAGTTTCAGTTAAAGGAACCATGTTTAATTTCAAACAGCGTTAATGTTAACGCTATTCGCCATGAGCTATGTCCCGCTGGCATGGCCTTGCAGATACTTGAGCGATGTTAAACCGAGGGCCAAGGAAAAAGAGTGTCTCCCAGCCGCCTTTGTCTCCCTGCCGTACATGATGAGAGTATACATACGCTTAAGAGAGCACCTTCCCTTGAGCTAAAGTCAAGCGCCACGATGTAGGACTATGATGGAATAACTTTGATGAATTAAAAAAAAACTTAACCATTTCTTTGTGCGTCGGGGAAGGGCACATACGGACGCGGGGCTCTATGCGGAGAGAATATCGCCTCCCTCTAGATTGTGCAACACAGACAAAGACGCCTTGAGACGATTTGTAACACCTGTTGTATTTTTGGTGGTCTATGGAAAGAGGAATCAATAGAACAATGCCGTAAATGATGCACACAAGGACACACATACACAAAGACACACATACGGACGCACATACGGACACGCGCTCCAGACCACGACACACCGCTAAATCAAAAGAAGCCCCACCTTGTGGGGAGGAGTCAAGAGGAAGGATTTTGGCATAAAAGAGAACGCTACAGCATTGAAAACTCAGTTCGGGGGAACTCATCAACGGAGCTCCTGAACGGAGCTCCTCAGCTCCTCAGCTCATCAGCAAGGAGCTCATCACCTCAACTCAGTTCATCCGGAACTCAGCTGAGTTCGGCCGGCTCATCGGAGCTTGGTTCAGCTCAGCTGAGCTCAGCTCAGCTCAGGTCGGCTCATCAGCTTGCCGACAGCTTGTCAGCAAGCGGGCAAGACCCGCTTGCCAGCTCAACTCAGCTCATCGGGGGAGCTCATCGGTGCGCGCCACTGCGCGCCACGGGGCGCCACTTCGCGACACAGCTCATCATCAAGGGAGCTCATCAGCTTGCCAGCTCAGAGCTCGGCTCATCGGGGGAGCTCGCAGGGGGAGCTCAGCTCATCAGCTTGCCAGCTCAACTCAGCTCATCAAGGGAGCTCATCAGCTTGCCAGCTCAGAGCTCGGCTCATCGGGGGAGCTCGCAGGGCGCGTGCGAAGTGAACGCTGTGTTGGTGAACGAGAGGAGAGAGATACTCCTACTGATTCTCCTACTGATTCTCCTACTGATACTCCTACTGTTATGGAGTGACTCATGCAGCCAGCTATGGCTGCAATGTTTGGTAGTACATATTATGTGTACATCGTTTATTGTTAAATTTGAATCGCAGTTCCTATGACCACTGCTACATTGTTTTTATAGCTTTATTTTGGTGATTTTTAAAAACGTTTTGGTTTAGCCATATGCGTTTGTTGTAGTACAGAGTTAGCTTGATAACTGTAATCTAAATTGTCTCATGGTTATTGTTCGACTTGCATCCCACTGGGATTTTTTTATCACACAGCGTTGATATGCGGTGCTTTTTCTGGAAGACTTTGCTGTGTTTTTTCCCTGGATTTTGCGCAGTCAGTCACTTTAAGATGTTTTTCTTGTTCGTGTTTTTGTTTGTCGCGGTTTTACCCGGACCAAGAGCCGCATGGCTCACAGGGCTATACCAAATAAATGAAACTGAGAGAGGGGTGAGAGGAGACTTCTCGTAGAGGGGATTGTTGTTGTTGTTTGATGTCGCCGCCGCATCCGTTAGCGACTTGACGTCATTCTCATTCCCAGCGCGCGCGGGGGTGGGTGGAGGCTAACGATTCATCGAGTCAAACATTCTCCCATAATCACCGATTCCTCAACGCATCGTCGATTCTCACGGAATCCCCAAATTACAAAAATGCGAATGAGGCAATGCTCACAACAACCGCGTCGCCCCTTGCCGTGGGGATTAATTGGTACGGTCCAGATCTACATGGGGCCGGCTGCTGGTTGATAATTGTAGAATTTTACGCATCTGCAGGGCAATTTAAGCGGTGGAGATATTTTGTGTTTCTCTCTCGGCCATGGCATCTATGGCAAATACTCTTTCGTCAAGTACTCGAACATTTCAGTCATAGAAATTTACCCATTCACTTTTCTCGGTCGAGGTTTTATAAAAAGTAGAAAAAAAAACAATCCCCTCTGTCTGCCCCCGTCACAAAATTAATCTAAATAAATTCTTAAATGCACAGAAATTAACATCAAATTAACGGAAACTCCCGAGGACATTGAGCGAGACCCTGGCCAGCTAAAAAAAAAATATTACTTACGGGACATGTGGAAACATAACTGGCCATGCAGTAAATATATTTTTTTTATTCACACTTAAAAAGTCCCCGTACAGACAACAATGTCACCACAATACCTGGTCCACAGCGTGGTGGCACAGTGATAACGCTTGTGCCTCACTGCAAGAAGGTTGCTGGGTTGGATTCTCGACTCTGTATGGCACCTTTGTCCATGGTTTTGAATGATCTCCCACCCCCTCTCCACACCCTGCTCTGCAGTGCGAGTGAATGAGTGGGGTTTGTAAGTTCTCCTCCGTCTGTTCTGCCATGGGGGTTTTTCTGCGGGGAGAAGTCACGCTGTTTGTAACTGCTATCGACCGAAACATTCCCAAATGCTGACACTGCAAATGAATCAATTGGGATTATATAGCCACACTGCAGCATCGCAGACCCCACTACAAAATACTTGGCAGAACAGAACCCTCCTGAAAGAGAGTTGAGATTCGGTAAGGCTTTCCTGGGTAAACCAGTGGAGTGATAACAATATTCATAATAACCTGGCACACCATGGGGCTCCAGTGGGTAAAGACAAGAAACGAAACACGGAGGCCTCACTTCACTTTTTCCAGTAAAAGCCAAGTTGTGCATTTTTAAATGTCAGTTCCATCACCTCGTTGTTTACATTTTTATCGTGCGCGCGCACACGGGCAGTGAAATGCACAGCAAGTTAAGAAAATCAGGAAAAAAATTACGCTTGATGTTTGTAATCAATATAAGCAAAGAGTTTAACATTTTTTCCAATCGACAAAATATCACATGCCTATTTTTCAGAAAAAAATAAACGAAGTCTTTGTCGTCTTTGGCGGATAATCCACCTACACCACCTCCGCCCTCTCGTGCTGCGTCTTCCTAACGGCTGAATCGAGACCCAAGGCCGTGCCAAAGCAGACCAGCAACGGCCCACCGATTTCAAACCCACCGATTTCAAACCCGAGCTAAGCCTTGTGATTTCCGTGGCCTTGACCCGTCTTAACCCCATCTTCCGTGCTCTTACGATCCCCTACGCAGGCGTAATTGACTAAATACGTTAACACGGTTTCGTTGTATTCTAGGGTTAGCGGACGCCGGCGGAAGATACATTTGAAAAACGATTAGCTTAGTAATTTTTAGCTTCGTCATTTTTTACCACGGTTATTTTTTTTGTAACAAAAATACGGCTCTGAGGTTAACCTGTATATGAGAGGATGCAAGTGACAGCTGATTCCATTTTCCACTTTGACCCCCCCTGTCTCCCGGTAAGGCTTCTATGCGAATCAGGGCCCAGCCTCAGTGGCTCTGTTATTTAAAAACTGGCGCCAACTCGTGATAGTGAGCGAGGAAACGCGGCGTCAGTTCCTCCTGCCCATGGGTCGCCACGGTGGCTAGGAGATGTTAACTACCTCGCCTGGTGTACAGGAGGATGTGGGTTCGATCCCAACTCCGACGCCGGTATATTTGGAGTTTGCGCGGCTGTCTCCCCGTGGCCGCGTGGATTTTTCTCTGCGGCCTCCGGTTTTTCCCTTCACATTTAGAATCGACATCAAACATTTAGAGTATTTGGCTGCCGTAAATTTCCATGTGAGAAGCCGCTTCGTTGAGCTATCATTTGTGAGAGCCAGGTCGCTTCTGAAACAAAGTATATATAGCTCAGTGGGCCTTACCTGGTAAAATAAAAAAAGAGTAGTTTTAGTTAATAGGCACCCGTGGTGACGCAGTGAGTCTGGGCCCTGCCAATGCCAAACTGGCACCTGAGGCTGTGTGGGTGGCTGCATCCAAACTTCTCCAGCTCCACCCCCCCCCTGCCATGCGCAATCCACGTTCAGTCGGAGGAATCCGAACTGCTCTGCTTCGACTTCCGGCGCTTGTGCTTTCTTTTAACTTTTTTTCCCTTCATCTTTTTCTTCTTCTTTTCCTTCTTCCTCCTCTTTCTCCTGTCTTCCCGAGACGAGTCGGAGCTGCTGGTCCCCGTGGTGGACTCCTCCAAAAGCCTCTTGAGCTGCTCCAGCCTGCGAGCCGCGGAACGTGATGCGCGAGCGAGAAGTGAATGAAAGTTGACCGGCGAGCCGCGACGCGTACGTCACGCAAGCACGGAGCAGGGGTCACAGGGCGACCATGACCGGGGTCACGGTGGCCTAGAGGTCACTCCCAGCACACGCCACTCGCCTCCCCCCTCGATATTAAGCCACTGGAGCTATGCAACTTTTAAATCGTCTAGATTGAAAACTCATTTTTTCAGAACTGCCTATTGTCTTTTAGTTTGTTGTCCTTCCCCCACACCGCCGATTAACAGGGTTGTCTACGTACGGTGCGAAAGAAGTTCAACACACATACACACATACGGGAGAGTGAGAAACCGCTGACTGAATGCCAATGGCGACAGATTTGTGAAGCTCCAAACCCCACCGAATTGTGAGGTGGCCCGGAAGATGGTAGCACCATCAAGTGAATTCGCGACCCCGTCCGTGTGGAGATTTTAGTGTTATCTCCTTGCATGTGTGGTTACGTGTAATGCCAGTTGAGTCATTTGCAGTGTAATAAAATTTTTTTTGCAGAATCTAGAAATTGGCCTACTCTTGTGGATGGCATGAGAGGCTCTTTAACGTCCACAGCGAGCGAGGCAGATGGCACAGAGTATTTATTTTTACGGTTAATGCACACCACCGCAGTATAAACCAGGGCGGCCGCTGGATTAGTAGCCTCTGCAACAAGCGGCGAATGCCCTACCACTAGGCCCCGTCGCCGCCCATCATCATCATCATCGCAATGGACATCCATGAACGAGGATATCTACTGGGACATCTGTGAAAAAGAGCTTTGTAGCTCATCGCATTCCTCCAGTACGAATAAATATTGATTCAGCGAGCAGGGTCTGCCGGCGGTGGCGGCGAGATTGTGCATGGGGTAGTACCTCAGCTGCTTCTCCTGCTGCTTATTCTCCCGCGTGATGTCGTACATGGGGTCCTCGTGCGCCTAACGCAACGGAAACGGCGACATTTCAAAAGGCAAATAAGCACTTTAGCTGAAGTTTCGTTGTTTTTTTTACATACATTTTTTTAAAATTCTGCATTGTCTCGCGATAACGGCAGTTGATTTTTGACCAGACCGCTGTTTCTTTTGCTTCTGTCATTGCTGTGGGCCAGGTCACATCTCTTGCAACCGAGACTCTTGAGTCCTCAACTGGTTAAACAAAACAAACTTGTTATTGAAACTTTGTAGCAGGCGACAGCCATGTGCGTCAGGCGAAGGGTCTGCCCTCCCTTGAGTAACGTCTTATTTTCTCACACTAACCTTTAAAATTAATGGATGGGTAGGGAAAACAACGGACAATCACGAAAGGCAATACCGTAACAGAGGCTACGTTGATCAAGAGGCGCGTGTTCGTGACACGCCCTTGGAAGTCACGTAGAAGGCAAACAATAAAATAATTAAAATATAAAACAATAAAATTCTCACGACGTTTCGACTGCAACACAAGCAATCATCATCAGGTGTGAAAACCACAGCAAGAAAATTTGCTGTGGTTTTCACACCTGATGATGATTGTGTTGCAGTCGAAACGTCGTGAGAATTTGACTGTTTTTATATATATTTTTTATTTTATTGTTTCCCTTCTATGTGACTTTACCGAAAGAACCAATAATATGAATCCCTGCAGTCACGAAAGCTTTAAATCAAAATTACGCCCTTGGAAGTTAACGTGTAACATTTGGCGCCGAGTCAGGAACAAGCCATCGACGAACATTCACGGGGGGGCGCGCTGCATTCATTAATTATTTGACGAATGTTCGAGTTTTACGAGGCCTATTGTTTAACGAGCTGAGAACTCGTGCGACCAGGATGAGTCTGATTTGCAAGCATGGCCTGGGCTCTGTATATGGCCACAGTGAGCCTTCAATGATGATGGAAATGATGGATATGAGGGTGGTGGTGGTGGTGATGGTGATGAGGATTATGGTGGTGGTGATGATGATCATGATGACGCTGATGGAAATGAGAATGGTGGTGATGATGATGATAGTTATGGAGATGTAGATGGTGATGGTAGTGGTTGAGGATGGTGGTAATGACGATGGTGATAATGATGGTGCAGATGATGATGCTAGTGATGGAGATGAGGATGATTAACAAGGGAAATGAGGATAATGGTACTGATGAGGATGATGGTTATGATGGTGGTGGGGACGATGGTCCGGGGGACCACCTACCACACGGAACTGCTCCAGCCGCTGGTTTCCGGAGCTGAAGAAAGGGCACTCGCGATCGCCCGTGCGGTGCCCGTACTGCTTACACCGCCAGCCTGCGGTGCCACACGCGCACGCCGCAAGGGCTTCTGGGACCCACGCAGGGAGCTGCCTTTCGATTGGTGGATATCTGCCCGGCACCGATACAGTACGATTCCGATTTTGTAGCGGGAATGCGGCCGCATCTCGAGACGTCATCCGGAAACAATCAGACACATACGCGATGTGTAAAAAGAATCATATATATCGTAGAAAATATACTCTATATATATGCTGTACACCGAGTATTGATATATATATGACTTCGCAAGAAGAGTTCGATATTCGCAGAGGTACTATGAAGAAGGGCCGTTGGCCAGAGAGCGCGTATTTGAACGGTCAATACACATCGCAGTATTAATCGGGGCGGCCTGCCACATTTGAACCGCGAGCCTCTGCAACAAGCGGCAGACGCGCTACCGCCAGGCAGTGTGTCACCACCCTGAATAATTCCACGCCTCGAGCACAAAGGCAAAGACCCCCTCCCCCACCCCATATAGCCTGAACAGACTGTCAGGGCAAGCGCTGTTAGGAGAGCACCTCCCGTGAAGGCCTTTGCTAAAGTTAATTTTACTTTCCCCCGCACCTCCGACTGGCACGGTCGGCTAACGTACGCTTGCGAATGAAGTTCAACGTACGCACATATAAGGCTGGCACGGCGCACGCGAGGGGGTGGGGGCGGCCAGGGCAACTCACACTGCATCACCTTCACCTCCTTCCCAAGCGGCATCCACAGGCCCTTCGAGGGGGCGCTGGCGAGGAAGTCGCGTGCGCTCTCGTTGCCGGGCAGGTCCGGGATGCAGTCCTCGGGCTTGTCATCATTTTCCTGCGCCAACGGTCGGGGGTAGGAGGTGGGGGGGAAGGTGGCGGAGGCCAACGTAACAAACGAGAAATCTGTGCCCGAGGATGCGGTTTTCCGCGGTGGCATTGCCACTGCCGCAGGGGTCAGCTATCGCCGCTGCCGCCTTGCGGCAATGTGCAAGGAGATAATGCGGCCGTGTGTCTTTTATGGCCGTGCCTCGCCAGCGTTGGACCAGAGGACGCCGAAGGGGCGAACGGCACAAAGGCACTTCTTTAGAATTGCTTTTTGTGTTAAGTTTGTGGACCTTCCCCCCCCTCCCCACATCCGCTTGGTATGGTTGGCTACGTATGGTGCGAAAGAAGTTCAACACTTATCCATACAAAAGACAAAAGATTCCTCATAGACTTTAAACAGAATGTTGGTGCAGGTGCTGCTAGCGACCATCTATGAAAGCGGGCACGGCATACAAGGCGGCGGTGTAGCCAGTGCCACGCTTGGCCGCCTTTGTCTCCCCGGTACTGATGTTTAAACACACCTCCACAGGATACTCATTTATGAGACTGAATCGACCGAGGGTAGCCCCAGGACCGGTTCGGATATTGTCAACTTGAAATAGTCGTGAGTGGGAATCGGGCCCTGGTCTCCGGGTTCGTAGCCCGTTGGGCATTTTAATCCGGCCTGCCGAACTTGTCCAAATATTATTATTATTAAATTAAATTTTACCCTTCTCCTGTATTGCCCCCATGTCCCCACTTTGACCGGGGGCGGCCCGGCCCCTCTGTCAAATTTCAGAACCCATTGTGGCCCGCGAGTCAAAAAAATGTGGCCCACCCCTGCGACTAACCGCTACACACGAACCACAAACCGGGGGCTCTCTGCGCCAAAGCGAGCAGCCAAACGGCGGAGGGCAGTTATCTGTCCCGCGCTCGGGGACTCTTTCAACAAGAGAGTGCTCCACCCACCGGCTCGACACGTTTACCCACCTCTTTGATTAAAACACAAATCGAGTTGTTGCACGCCACACGCGCCTGATGATCGTCGGACACGTCCGACGCGAGGTCGAGGGTGCCGGTGCAAACTGACTCGGAGATACTGCGAGTTTGTGTCTTTCAAACTGCAGGGATCCCTCTACTTGTGTACGAGTTACGTTCCAGAGGTCTGTTCGTAAGTCGATTTGTTATACGTCCCAACTGTAGTCCCTGTCGATTCCAAACATGTTGTACGGCATGTACACCGAACACGTGGAAAGGCTTTAAAAGTTGTACAATCTCCCATAGATATACATATCACCGGTTCTTCACGTTCTGCAGATGGAGATGCCACCACCGCCATCTATTGCGCGGCGGTTGAACTTACGCCTCTCGGTCCAAACAGGCAACTGGACATACGGACGGGATTTGTTCGTATCTCTGAAAGTTCACAAGTCGAACATTCGTAAGTAGAGCAGTCCCTGCATTATCCACTCCACATCTCTCTGGGTCTCTGTGTTGCGTGAAGAAAGGGCAATTGGTCACGGAGATCGCCTGTTCAACACTCTTCCTTCGAAGGCCTGCATGGATGTTACCGACGATGAACGGGTGAGTGTCGAGACATCTCCAAGTGGTGCAGCAGGGCCACTCACTTTGATGAGACTGGGAGGAGGCTTTTCGTAGCTTGACAAGAAGACAAAACGACAACATCAGCGGCACAATTAGAAATTTGCAGAGACAAGCAGCGGGTAACATCCCGAACGTGTTTCAATGCTGGTAACTGATCCACAATTTAATAATAGGAATTTTCACCTTTTTTTTTCTGACAACAAAACTGAAACCTTTTTTACAAGGATTCATGTCTGCATTAACCACAATACTTGCAGTCAAAATGCAAACAAAAAACATACTCCCATAATATGATGCATTGTCCTTGAAACGGATTGGTCCACACCAGAGACAGCTTTCTTTAGAGCCTGGTCTCAATTGGTGCTAGACCAGATGAAAGCCGTCTCTGGTGTGGACCGATCAGTTTCAAGGACAATGCATCATATTATCAGTGTGTTTTTTGTTTGCGTTTTGACTGCAAGCATTGTGGTTAATGCAGACATGAATCCTTGTAAAAAAAGCTTCAGTTTTGTTGCCAGAAAAAAGGGGAAAATCCCTATTATTATATTTTGGTACTGGTAAAGGAGGTCCAAAGATGATCCACAATTATTATGATATTATTACACTCGTTCACCCAGGAAAGCCTCGCCGAGTGTCACGACTTTTTCGGGAGGTTTCCTGCCAAGTTTTGGCGCTGATCGTGATGAGCACGTGGCGGTTGAATGGTGGAGGTGTTGGGAAGTGATTGCAGGTGAAACCGGGAGCACGTGGAGTGGTGGAGAAGTTGGGAGTGATTGGTGGAGCATGTGGAACTGGAGCACGTGGCGCATGTGAAGTGCTGGAGCATGTGGAACTGGAGCACGCGGAGTGGTGGTGCAGTTGGGAGTAATTGGTGGAGCACGTGGAGCATATGGAACTGGAGCATGTGGATCAGCTGGGAGTGATTGGTGAGGCATGCGGTGCATGTGGAGTAATGCAGCACGTGGAGTGGAGCAGCTGGTAGAGCACGTGGAGCATGTGGAACTGGAGCAAGTGGAGCAGCTAGGAGTGACTGATGGAGCACGTGGAGCATGTGCAACTGGAGCACGTGGAGCAGCTGGAAGTGACTTGTGGAGTGGAGCAGCTAGGAGTGACTGATGGAGCACGTGGGGCAGCTGGGAGTGACTGATGGAGCACGTGGAACTGGAGCACGTGGAGTAGCTGGGAGTGACTGATGGAGCACGTGGAGCAGTTGGGAGTGACTGATGGAGCACGTGGAACTGGAGCACGTGGAGTAGCTGGGAGTGACTGATGGAGCACGTGGAACTGGAGCACGTGGAGCAGCTGGGAGTGACTGATGGAGCACGTGGAACTGGAGCACGTGGAGTAGCTGGGAGTGACTGATGGAGCACGTGGAGCAAGTGGAGTAGCTGGGAGTGACTGATGGAGCACGTGGAACTGGAGCACGTGGAGTAGCTGGGAGTGACTGATGGAGCACGTGGAACAGCTGGGAGTGACTTGTGGAGTGGAGCAGCTAGGAGTGACTGATGGAGCACGTGGAACTGGAGCACGTGGAGTAGCTGGGAGTGACTGATGGAGCACGTGGAGCACGTGGAGCAGCTGAGAGTGACTGATGGAGCACGTGGAGCAGCTGGGAGTGATGGACAGGTGGAGGCCGTCACGCTCACAAGGTCTCCACGTGCTTGAGCTGCTGCACATCGTCGTGCCCGCGCCGCTGCAGGCGCTCCACGAGGGCGGCGTCCGCGCTGCAGTCGCTCCCCCGACGCCGCTTCTGACGATCCTTGCTGGCCCGCGGCATGGCGGGTCTGCATCATCAACAACAAGAACCACAACAACAACAACAAGGACGATATTACACGCGGCCGCCACGCATCGTCGTCTCTCACGGCATGGGACGAGCCGTCAACCACAACAGCTCTCCCCCCCCACCCCTCGTGTTCTCTGCGAGTGCACACCACAGGGCATTTTGTGCATACGACCAGTGTATACACCACGTGTGCACACACCACGTGCACACACCACGTGCACACTCCCCGTGTACACACCACGTGTACACACCACGTGCACACTCCCCGTGCACACACCCCGTGCACACTCCCAGTGTACCACGTGCACACACCCCGTGCACACTCCCCGTGCACACTCCCCGTGTACCACGTGCTCACTCCACGTGTAATACGTGCTCACTCCCCGTGCACACTCCCCGTGTACCACGTGCACACACCCCGTGCACACTCCACGTGTACTCCACGTGCACACTCCCCGTGTACCAAGTGCACACACCCCGTGCACACTCCACGTGTACTCCACGTGCACACTCCCCGTGTACCACGTGCACACTCCCCGTGTACCACGTGCACACTCCCCGTGTACTCCACGTGCACACTCCCCGTGTACTCCACGTGCACACTCCCCGTGTACTCCACGTGCACACTCCCCGTGTACTCCACGTGCACACTCCCCGTGTACCACGTGCACACTCCCCGTGCACACTCCCCGTGTACCACGTGCACACTTCCCGTGCTCACTCCACGTGCACACTCCCCGTGTACTCCACGTGCACACTCCCCGTGTACTCCACGTGCACACTCCCCGTGTACTCCACGTGCACACTCCCCGTGTACTCCACGTGCACACTCCCCGTGTACCACGTGCACACTCCCCGTGCACACTCCCCGTGTACCACGTGCACACTTCCCGTGCTCACTCCACGTGCACACTCCCCGTGTACCACGTGCACACTCCCCGTGTATTCCACGTGCACACTCCCCGTGTACCACGTGCACACTCCCCGTGTATTCCACGTGCACACACCCCGTGTACCATGTGCACACTCCCCGTGTACCACGTGCACACTCCCCGTGCTCACGCCACGTGCACACTCCCCGTGTACCACGTGCACACTCCCCGTGTACTCACGTGCACACTCCCCGTGTACTCCACGTGCACACTCCCCGTGTACTCCACGTGCACACTCCCCGTGTACTCCACGTGCACACTCCCCGTGTACTCCACGTGCACACTCCCCGTGCACACACCCCGTGCACACTCCCCGTGTACCACGTGCACACTCCCCGTGCTCACTCCACGTGCACACTCCCCGTGTACCACGTGCACACTCCACGTGCACACACCCCGTGCACACTCCCCGTGTACCACGTGCACACACCCCGTGCTCACTCCACGTGCACACTCCCCGTGTACCACGTGCACACTCCACGTGCACACACCCCCTGCACACTCCCCGTGTACCACGTGCACACTCCCCGTGTACCACGTGCTCACTCCCCGTGTACTCCACGTGCACACTCCCCGTGTACCACGTAAACACTCCCCGTGCACACTCCCCGTGTACCACGTGCACACTCCCCGTGTACACTCCCCCTGCACACTCCACGTGTACCACGTGCACACTCCCCGTGTACCACGTGTACACTCCCCCTGCACACTCCCCGTGTACCAAACTCCCCGTGTACTCCACGCGCCGTCTTCTCCCGTGGCGACTCCGCAACGCGAGCGACGCTGCGGCGTGGAGTCGTTCGTCGCTGGGTTTGCCACGCGCTTCCGCTTCCGCCCGTGGCCCCGCCCCCGCTCGTGGCCCCGCCCACAAGGTGCAGACAAAGGTCCCCCGAAAAGTCGACCACGCTGCCCGGCGCAAGTGCTGAGAGCGAGAACTTATAAGCCTTTGGGGCCGTCCATAAATGACGTCACGCACCTAGGGGGGAGGGGGGGGGGTTGAAAAATGTGACGTCACATCAAAATGCGCAACTTTAAATAAATATAGACAACACGTTCTACTGAATTAAATTGACTTTTTAATAAAGGTTTTCTCCTACAACATCAGAGTGCAGTGCCACATTAAACACGCACTAGAATGGCAGGGGGGGGGGGGTCTGACTCTTTGTGACGCCGTGTGACAAGGGGAAGGGGGGGGGCCTTTGATTTATAACAGAGCCACACGAGGCAAATAAAACACAGAGAGCTGTCAACACAAACGGTTTAGCCCAGTGTTGTTGTACGGGGTAAATTTAGTTTTCAGGCCCATACGGCGTACAGCCGTTTCAATACTGGCAAAAACATTTTTTGAGGCCGCCCATAAATGACGTCACGCAATTTTGGACGATTTTTGACCCCCCCCCCACGTCACACGGCGTCATAAAAAGTCAGACACCCCTCAAATATGACGTCACAAAGCTCTACCCCCCCCCCCAAACCATATTTCCATTTTGAAAATAAACCATGCTTCAAATCACTTTAAACTATTGTCATTGTAGTGCGTATTTAATGTGGCGCTGCGCTCTGATGTTGTAGGAGTGTTGTCATAATTAGTGTTATTATTCTTAGTTTTTTCGGTAAAGTCACGTTGAAGAGAAACAACAAAATAACAAAATATATATAAAACAATAAAAAATTCTCACGACGTTTCGACCATAACTCAAACGGTTTTATATATATATTGTTATTTTGTTGTTTCTCTTCAACGTGACTTTACCGAAAAAACTAAGAATATGAATTACTGCAGTCACGAAAGCTTTAAATCAAAATATAATTAGTGTAGTTATAGGAATTATATATTTATTTAAAGTTGCGCATTTTTATGTGACGTCACATTTCTCAAACTCCCCCCCCCCTCGTCACACATCGTCACAAATGTCTGACCCCCCTCCAGGTGCGTGACGTCATTTATGGACGGCCCCTTATACACAATGCAGTTTTTGTTTAGCAACACAATTTTTGTGTTTGTGTGTCTCCCTCGTGACGTGACTTTGCGGGATGAACGTTGAGATTTATAAGGGGCACGGGGTGACCAGTAATATCTGAATTGGGTCTGTAACAAGGTAGGGCACTGATAAGGGGTTGACAGGTATGAAAGCGACGTTTCGGGCAATGGCCCTTATTCATCGCACACACAGAGAGGCCAGAGAGAAAGAAAGAGAGTGGATAATACGAGTAGGAGATTGCACATTGGCTGAAACGTCGCCAATAAATATTTAAAAAAAAATCTGAAGTTGTATTTATTTAGGCATGTGCACTACTGGCAACGCAGCAGCATGGGCAAATAATTTGTTGAAATTTCTCCAGAAGGTGGGGCTGGAGAGTTACTGCGCAATTTAACCACCGAGGTCACAATGACAAAGATCCCCCGCGTAGCCTTTAACAGACTGTCGGGGCAAGTGCTGTCACAGGAGGGGTTGTGGCCAACACCACGTCCGACCGCCTTTGTTTCCCTCGTCCTGACGTTTATACACCGCACCATGTACTCATTTGAGGCTGAGTCGACCTGGGGCCGGTTCACAAAATTCGGGTTCGCAGCGCGATTCGCTAACCGCTACGCCACCGCTCCCCACACGACACAAGGTACAATGCAGCGATCCGCTGTTTTGTACGTATGTTGAACTTCTTTCGCAACGTACGTATCGGAGGTGCAGGGGCAAGACAGCAAAATTTAACACAAATAGCAGTTTTAAAGAAATGAGTTCGTCAATTTAGACGATGATTTAAAAGTGCATAGCTCCAGTGGCTTCCTAACGGCGGAAGGAAGAGCGTTCCAGATGGCCGCAGTATAAATTAAACGAAGGTGACCCTACACCAATAACAAAATAGAGGACATACTTAAGGAAAAACTCTTGCAGAGTTTCCTCAACTGATCCTCATGGGTACCAAATAATACAAACTGGCCGAGGCAATTAATATTCTTTTTATTTCTGGAACACAATTTTTTCCAGGGGTGTTACTTCACTCAGCCACTAGGGCACCAATCAATCCAAAATCGGTGATGCTACTCCGCGATATTGAAACGCCAAACATCAGCATACAAAAATCCGTTATCGAAAAATTCAACTTTGAATAGTGCATCGTGTACAGCTCGTCGAGATGAGTCGATTGTCACGTTCTGTTTACGTGACAACCCTTACTAGTTGGCTGTGTCGGGTGGTGGTGGGGGTTTAACGACACAACATTTATATATTTACGCGATCTAAACAAAACAAAAAACCTCTATTATGGATGATATTGGTCGCGTATTTATTAACATTCACATTTTTTTTCAAGGTTTAAAAACCACCGCAACAAGAGGCAACGCGTTCCATAGCCTTGGAGTTGCACTGGCAAAATATCTGATCAACCCCAGCAAGGGAGCATTGATCCTCGGAATACTATGAAGATCAGAAGATCTCAAGGAACTCATTGCTCGTGCATGTCAGTGGATCAGTTCCTGTAAGTAACGTGGGGCAAGCCCATTGTGGCAGCCTTGTGGGTCAGTAGACTTGGAGATGCACTGGAAAAATCCCTAATCACCCTCAGCAAGGGAGCCTTGACCCTCGGAATCCTAAGGAGAAGAAGACCAGAAGATCCTAAAGTCCTTATTGCTGCTGGAAATCAATGGATCAGTTCCTGTAAGTAACGTGGGGCTAACCCATTGTGGCAATCCTTGTAGGTCAATAGCGGGGACCTTCTAATCAATTCGAGATTCGATTGGCAGCCAATACAAGCACAGGAGAACGGGTCTGACGTGTTCACCGCCGTAGCAATTAACGCGAATCACGCGATTTTAATTGGACACGTGGCCGCGCATTAGGTGAACCACGCGTTGTGGGGGTGGGGGGGTGGAGACGTTTGGCGTTCCTGGAGAATTACCAGATGAGTCCTGATGAAATAGACAGATTCGGCGTGGGGGAGGGGATTTCCCTCGCCCCACACCGCGTGGAAGGAAGTGCACTCGGCTCCCCCCCCCCGCAACAAGAGGTTATAAGTGGGAGCTCGGAACCAGATCAGTCGTCTCTCTGCACACAGAGAAATCCCGAGAGAGACATCCGCACAGGGAGAAAGACAAAAAAATCCGCACAGAGACATCCGCACGGAGAGAGAGAGAGAGAGAGCGACATCCGCACGGAGCGAGACACATCCGCACGGAGCGAGACACATCCGCACGGAGCGAGATACATCCGCACGGAGCGAGACACATCCGCACGGAGAGAGACACATCCGCACGGAGCGAGACACATCCGCACGGAGCGAGAGAGACACATCCGCACGGAGAGAGAGAGAGCGACATCCGCACGGAGCGAGACACATCCGCACGGAGCGAGATACATCCGCACGGAGCGAGACACATCCGCACGGAGCGAGACATCCGCACGGAGAGAGACATCTGCACGGAGCGAGACACATCCGCACGGAGAGAGAGCGACATCCGCACGGAGGGAGACGGAGACATCCACAGAGACCACTTCACGGACTGACAGCCATACCGGAGACACAACCGCACCGTGGAGACCAGCTCTCGTTCACCTGTGAATATAAACTCTCGTCTGCCTCCGTCTGTTCACCTGGTGCACGCGGTCTCCGTGAGTCGGGCATGGCTGCCCACGTGGCCGTGATGATGATGCTGATGCTGCTGTTGCTGCCCGGCTTCGTGTCGACCCGCGTGCCTGGTGAGCGAAACTCGCTCATCGGTGGACACAGCCGCGCGAGTGATGTGTGTGGGGGTGTGGCGTGTGCGCATGTTGTGTGGGTGTTTGCGTGGTGTGTATGTTACTGGACGGCTTCATGGCTCATCGGATTCCTCCAGGCTTAAATGATTCTGATGTTGTGAGTGTGGAGTGCCGATGTTGCATCGTTTGTACAACACGTGTGGCATGTTCGTATTGTGTGTGTGTGTCATGTGTGTAACACGTGTGTGTGTGTGTGTGCGCCATGCGTGTTGTGCTCGCACACAGGCAGCCGGGTGAGGAGTGGTGGGGCAGCAGTTGCCGCACTGCGGTGCCCGGTGTTCGATAATCCCTGGCCATGGCCAGACGGAATATTACAGCAGCGAGTGATGTTTTGAAAGCTGTTCCTGGACCGTCCGGAGTCGAGTTCGTCTCGACTCCGACTGGACCGTGACAAGAGAGAAGCTCCATTTAATGAATACAAGAGACGAGCCAAGAGGCGCCGAGTAGACCCCGAATAAGGACTCAATTATGTACTTGTATATACACATAATAGCTTTTTGCCATTTGTTTCGTAATGTTATTTATACAACCTTTTTGCCGACTGTTTAAAGTGTTACATGAACAGGACAGGTGACATGTTAGCATGTAAAGCAACCATAAACACATGAAAAGACCTAGGTTTACAATTTATGAGAAACACTACGATCTGCACAATATACAAGGGGGCCGTCCATAAGTGACGTCATGCACCTGGGGAGGGGGGGGGTCAGACATTTGTGACGATGTGTGACGAGGGGGGGGGGGTTGAGAATTGTGACGTCACATCAAAATGCGCAAGTTTAAATAAATATGTAATTCCTATAACAACACTACTTGTTATAACAACACACCTACAACATCAGAGTTTCAGCGCCACATTAAATACGCACTACAATGACAATAGTTTAAAGCGATTTGAAGCATGGTTTTTGGGGGGGGGGGGCGCAGAGCTTTGTGACGTCATATTTGGGGGGGGGGTCTGACTTGTGACGCCGTGTGACGAGGGGGGGGGGGGGGGGTCAAAAATCGTACAAAATCGCGTGACCTCGTTTATGGACGGCCCCATAGACGTAAAATGTAAACTTTTACATCTTGAGAACAGTAGCCAAATCGGTTGTTTTAATTGTCACGTTTGAATTCGGCACATCGAAATTCATAATAATCGGCACATTTCAGACGACGTCTAAAAACAATTGTAGACCAGTGTAATCCCAGCCATGGCTAAACGTAACATGAAAGCGGCGAGTGATGTCTTGAAACCCGTTCCTGGACCCCTCTGGAGTCTTCGAGTTCGTCTCTGCGTCAAATGAGAGAGTTAACTCACAACGCTGTGGATGCGGTGTGGGTAACGCTGTCCCCCCCCCCCCCCCGGGCCTTCGTGGGTTGCGTGTGCTGGCTGTGACACGGCACTCCCCCCCCCCCCCCCCCACAAACAGTCTATGATCGTGGCATATTTTTTTGGCAGTCTCAAATTATGAAAAATAATAATGGTTTTTTTTTACCCTTTATGAAAATAAAACGGGGAGGTGTTGAGATGTTTAAGCGTCAGATATCAACTTTTTGCAAGGAATCGAGCCTGCGCCGCCAGCCACACGTACTCGTGGCAAAACACGTGGCTCTGATGATGGTGTACACACCGTCTTTGAAACTGATTGGCCCGCACCAGAGGACATCCTTGTTTTTCATGGCCTAGCCTCACCATCGGTGACAGACCAGAGGACAACGCCAAAATGCGAACAGTACAAAGGCGATGCACGTGTCAGACCATTTATAGCTATAAACGCTCTGACACGTTAAACCTATTCTAATGTTTCATACTTTGATACTGGCAAAAAAAGGTCCCATGACATAGCTGCTCGCCCCGAGCTATGAATGCTCTGACACGTGCATCGTCTTTGTACTGTCCGCCTCTTGGCGTTCTTCTCTGGTCTGACACTGATGGTGAGGCTAGGCCATGAAGAAGCCTGCTGTCCTCTGTTGTAGGCCAATCGGTTTCAAAGATACTGCCTCTATATGCTAATTTTGTCCCATTGTCACTCAGCCTTACCTTCTCTGCCTATTTAAGGCAACTTTACTGTGTGCTTGTCTCTGTGCTGGCTCGCTCTACTTGGTTGTCTGTGTGTGTGTGCGGTCTGCATTTTGAGTTTCATACTTTACTTGCAATTTATCAATCTTTTGAAATAGCGTGATCAATCGGACTATGCGTTAATTGTGTTTTGACCGACCGTCTGTTGCTTTACATGGTTTCCAAAATTTTTGCTAAACCCTGTTTGTCTGGTGTGCTTCTCTGTCTGTGTCCCCTGTTGTATCTGTGTTAGTTCCCCCTACTTGGGTGTCTGTATATACTTCTGAGGTTATGTGTCTCCCCTCTCATAATTTAGCTCTTCTGTACCTGATGATGGCTGCTTGTGTTGCAACCGAAACGTCGTACGCTATTATGTTATTTTATTATTTATTTATACGTGACTTTATCGAAAAAAACATAGAGTAAAGCGTGTTTGTTTGTTAAATGTTCACACACTAGCACCTTGTGTGGTTAACGCAGAACTTTATTCCATGCAAAAAGGTTTGTTTTATTGACAGATAAAGGGGTAAACGGGCCTACTTATTATTTTTCAGAGCCTGTAATCGGCTACACGGGGTGGCTCTTTGTCTCTCTCTGTGTCTGTGTGTGCAGGCAGCCGCATCGGCAGCAGCGTCGCTCCGCCGGCCCCGAGCTACGAGTTGCTGGAGGAACACTCGGGCTCCGTGACGGTGGATCACCCGCCGCCGCCGCTCCTCCTCCTCCGCGCCAGCCACAACCCAGCCGGGCCGCACCGAGGCCACGCGCGCCGCCTCGCCGGCATGAGCCGCCAACCCGGCGGCGAGCGACTTGGCGAAGAACACGACGCGCCTTCCTCCCGTCTCCCATGCAAGTCGCCGCGTCGCTTGGGCATTGTTTGTCGTTTCCCCATTTGCCCATCTTCGTTCGTGACCAGACGATGCCGACGCCCTTCGGTATTGCCTGGGGGGTGTGGTAGTGGCCCAGCGGTTAGCGCACTGCATTATAATCCCGAAAGGCCCCGAGTTGGATTCCCAACGACGGCCAACATTGTTGATATGAAACAGTCCTGGGTTGGCACCCCCCGCCCCCCCCACCCCGTTCGCCCGTCGTCAAATCCACACTGGCCGGCTTGACGAAGTTACGGTCAAACAACCCCCCCCATGACTTAACTGTGTGGGGGTGGGTTAGGCCTTCATCCAGCAGTGAATTGACGAAAGTGTGTCATTCAGATGCTCTCAAGGAAAGCATCGCTGATAGTTCTGTATTGGGGGTGGCCCTGCTTGCGATTTGAAACGTTTGGGCCCATCACATTTCTCAGAGTTTGGCTTCGTGTCGGAGCAGACCAGAGATGCTGCAGTAAACAAGGAAGGCCTTTCCACCGTGTCCTGGCATCACGGTAAAATGTAAAAAAAAACCAAAATTCGACAAAAAAAATTTCCGCAAAGTACTGCTCCAACGGGGGGGGGGGTCACATGTCAGCATCGGCCTCCCCCTGACCTACCCCCCCCCCCCCCCCGTGACACTACCGCAGACCGCGTTCCTTCAAACGCAGGCGGCGCCTTCCTTCGTGATGACCGCCCTCTCTCGGTTCGATTACCAGCTCCGGTCTCCTTGCTGTGTATGTTATAGGGCGGTGTTCTTCACAAATTTTCAGACGGGGTGGGGGGGTGGCGCGGTGGGCGGGGGGGTGGCACTTTGGCCGATAAGACGTCATCAGTGCGAGGGCCACCACGCATTTCGAATTGCTACTGGGTTTGATGGCAGCACGACGATGATGATGTTGGGGGTGTATTCGCGCCTTGTGGATTGTCAAGGGCCGCACCAAAGGCCACCAGTGGCCCGCGGGTCCTTGCGATGAGGAGGTGAACGCTGCTGGCGAGTCTGTGTTCTCCCTCTATTCTGCAGCGGTTCCTCCGGTGTTCTTCAGTTTATACTCCCGTAGCTTAAACACACACACACACACACGTGGTATCTGGTATTGGCCAAACAACATCTCCCGATGCTGAAAAAATGACCTTGCAAATCACTCTGTTGGGGTTGATGGATGGCATCCATCCCCCCCTCCCCCTTCCGCTACTACCACAACGTGGCAGGACCCTCCTGCACAAAAGAGTCGCCGAGAGGCTTGGTGATGCTGTCCTGGGGTAGTCAAGCGGAATAACGAATACTCCAAATGAGATTTGGTGCGTGGCTGGAGCGCTATCTGGTCACACCGCATCCCCCCCCCCCCCCCCCCGTTCTATTTGCTCTTCTGCCCCCGCTATCAGACTGTGCCGGGGCCCCATGCCGGAACGACGGACTATGCCATGAGACTGCCGATGGCAATTGGCGGTGCGAGTGCCGCCACGGATTCGCCGGCGAGCTGTGCACAGGTGCTGTACCGGGCCTCGGCCCTGCCTCGCCTGGCGATCGCACCTCGTCCTCCTGCCGGTTGTCTCGACATTCGATGTAAACCACCGCCATCGTCATCGGCAGCTGTCTGTGTGTGCGGCAGAGCTGGGCGCGTCGCTGCAGTGCGAGCGCGGACACATGCGCGTGACGGTGCCCGCGGCGCTGCTCGCGTGGCGCGGCTGGGACGCGGCGGCGCTGCGCCTCGTCAGCGGGCGGTGCCGGGCGGGGAGCGCCCGCGGGGGAACCCGCGATGCACTCGCTCTCCGTCGACGACAGCTCGGGGCCGTGCGCACCAGAGTGCAGGTCGGGCCCCCCCCCCCCCCCCCCCCCCCCCCCACCAAGCCCCCCTTGGCATATACCCCGTGGCGCCACAGAGGCCGTGTGCGTGCCGGTGCCGGTCACGCCGTCCGCCGCCCCGCGTAGGCGTTACCGCGTCGGCCTTCGTAGGCGCGCTGCCCTGCTTACCGCATTTGTTCTAACGTCTCTGTGGTGAGATGTTAACTGCCTCGCCTGGTGTGCAGGAGGTCGCGGGTTCGATCCCGACCCTTGACGCCTGCTGCTGTATATTTGGAGTTTGCGGTGTCTCTCTTACCGTGGTCGCGCGGATTTTTCTTCGGGGTCTTCCGAGAGGCTCGCTCGCAGCGCTGGCCCCGGCCGCTCGCCCTCCCCGGCCGGCCACACCGGCCCGTGAACCCTGTCGGCGGTGTGCGGCACGCCGGCTGTTCCGTTGTCCCACCCGCAGCACAACGACAGCCACGTGTGGTTCTCCAACGCCGTGCTGGTGGAGCAAGAGGAGGGGGGCGACGCCGCCGCCATCCTCAACTTCACCTGCGTCTACGGCCTCGAGACGCTGGCGCAGCTGCCCTTCGCCGTGGTGCCCACCCTGCAGTGAGCGGCCGCATGCGGCGGGCATGCCGTGGGGGAGTTGGGGGGGAGGGGAAGGTGTGTCTGGGGGGAAGGAGTGGAGGTGTGTCTGGGGGGGGGTGTCTGGGGGGAAGGGGGGGAGGTGTGTCTGGGGAGGGGGGTGTCTGGGCCGTGGAGGGGGTGTCTATATCACGGCACCTTTTTTCCGAGGCAGCTTTACAGCAATTGTAAAATTATAGGCGTCATCATTAACTCGTGTGTGCTCTCTGAACACTGAAGTTATTTTACCAGGTTAAGCCCACAGAGCTATGGAGCTTTTTGTCACAAGTGGACCTGGCCAGCACAAATGATAACTCAAAGAAGTGTTGATAATTATGAATGTGGAGGGGAAAAAACTGGAGGAGCTGGAGAAAAATCCACACGACCGCGGTCAGAGACGCTGTAAACTCGAAATATCCAGCAGGCATCGGGGTTTGGATCGAACCCACGACCTCCTGCACACCAGGCAAGGCAGTTAACATCTCACCACCGAGATGCAGCTTAACATACAGCAGGCGTGGCTTCGAGATTCCAGGGGGGACCACGTGGCTTCGAGATTCCATGGGGGACCGCGTGGCTTCGAGATTCCAGGGGGGACCACGTGGCTTCGAGATTCCAGGGGGGACCACGTGGCTTCGAGATTCCAGGGGGGGACCACGTGGCTTCGAGATTCCAGGGGGGACCAGGTGGCTTCGAGATTCCAGGGAGGACCACGTGGCTTCGAGATTCCAGGGGGGACCACGTGGCTTCGAGATTCCAGGGGGGGACCACGTGGCTTCGAGATTCTATGGGGGACCACGTGGCTTCGAGATTCTATGGGGGACCACGTGGCTTCGAGATTCTATGGGGGACCACGTGACTTCGAGATTCCAGGGGGGACCACATGGCTTCGAGATTCCACGGGGGACCACGTGGCTTCGAGATTCTATGGGGGACCACGTGGCTTCGAGATTCTATGGGGGACCACGTGGCTTCGAGATTATATGGGGGACCACGTGGCTTCGAGATTCTATGGGGGACCACGTGGCTTCGAGATTCGATGGGGGACCACGTGACTTCGAGATTCCAGGGGGGGACCACGAGGCTTCGAGATTCCAGGGGGGACCACGTGGCTTCGAGATTCTATGGGGGACCACGTGACTTCGAGATTCCAGGGGGGACCACGTGGCTTCAAGATTCCAGGGGGGACCACGTGGCTTCGAGATTCTATGGGGGACCACGTGGCTTCGAGATTCTATGGGGGACCACGTGGCTTCGAGATTCCAGGGGGGACCACGTGGCTTCGAGATTCCAGGGGGGACCACGTGGCTTCGAGATTCCAGGGGGGGGGGGCACGTGACTTTGAGATTCCAGGGGGGGGGGCACGTGGCTTCGAGATTCCAGGGGGGACCACGTGGCTTCGAGATTCCAGGGGGGACCACGTGGCTTCGAGATTCCAGGGGGGACCACGTGGCTTCGAGATTCCAGGGGGGACCACGTTGCGTCGAGATTCCACGGGGGACCACGTTGCGTCGAGATTCCAGGGGGGACCACGTGGCTTCGAGATTCCAGGGGGGACCACGTTGCGTCGAGATTCCAGGGGGGACCACGTGGCTTCGAGATTCCAGGGGGGACCACGTTGCGTCGAGATTCCAGGGGGGACCACGTGGCTTAGAGATTCCAGGGGGGACCGCGTGACTTCGAGATTCCAGCCCCAGGTCCCCAAAACCTTTGGGCCAGTCATCAACCTCGGCGACATTGAGAAACTGAACGTGTTGGGATTTGTAATTTTTGAGGGACCCCCACCCCCCTTCACCCTAAGACTCCCCCCCCCAACCCCCCCTGTGCTGAGTGGCACCGTCCCCCCCCCCCCTTGTGTGCCTCCCCCCCCCCCCTCTGTGTGCCTCCCCCCAGCACGCTGACGGTGCGGGGTGAGCCGGGCTCGTTCCACGTCACCATGCGAGCCTTCGTGAACGCGTCGTTCGACGAGGGCGAACTCTACCGCGACGGCGACACCGTCATGGCCGGCGAGTGCCGTTCGCCCTCTCCCCGCTCGCCCGCTCTCCCCCCCCGCTCTCTCCTCTCCTCTCCCTCCCCGCTCTCTCCCTCGGCGCGCTCTCCTCTCGCTCGCCGGGATACCGAACGGTGCGGCGGTCTTGGTGCGCGTGCGTGTTGTCAGGCGAGCGCGTGTACGTGGAGCTGCGTCTGGCCGCCCCCACTGGCAGCCCCTTCTACATCTTCAGCAGGGACTGCTGGGCCACGGCGGAGCACGACCCAGACTCGCGACCTCGGCACCCGCTCATCGAGCATGGGTGAGCAGCAGCACCACCTCCAAAGACGAAGATCTCCCCCCACCTCCACCCCGTGCAGCCTGAACAGACTGTTGGGGCAAGCGCTGTTAGCGAGTAGCACCACCCTATGAAGGCCGGCACGGCGCACGAGCGGGTGGGGTGGCCAGCACCACGCCCAGTGGCGATGTTCGCGCAATCGCGCCAGGTACTTATTTGAAGGCCGAGTCGACCTAGGGGGAGGAGGCCCAGGACCGGTTCGGGTGATTGCTTATCGCTGGTGTTGCCCGTGAGCGGGACTCGAACTCTGGTCGCCGCGTTCTAGTGCGGCGTGCCAAGCGCTACACTACCGCACCACCACCACCACACTCGCCGCCGAACTCGTACAGCACCGCTGCCAACATCACCATCCCTGCACTCGTGCAGCCACTGCATACTCTTCACCACTCTAGGACGGTGGCCGATTCATCGATTCGGCGTAAGCACGCGCGTGTCCTGAACACTCGTTCACGCGCATTCATAAATGGCTAAACACGAATCGTCATGGCGACTCGCATGACGTTCTTACGCATACTTTGACCAAAACCAAGTGTGTGGGGAGGGGCGGGGGTTTAATTTGGAGAGTTCGTGAAGTGACACCGGAGAAGCGGGCAAGACGCGGTCAGAGGGGAGCGCGCAACGGCTCGGCCTCGCTGCCGTCTGCGAGTGGCAAAGCGGTGAACGTTGGAGCGATAACAAGAGTCTGTGTGTCTGTGTACGTGTGCAAGCGTGGTAGTGTAGCGGTTGGCGCTACGCTGCGCTATTAACCTGGCGACCCGGGTTCGATTCCCGCTCACGGCCAACACCGGTGACGATTATCTGAACCGGTCATGGGCCTCCCCTAGGTCGACTCGGCCTCAAATGAGTACCTAGGGCGGTGCGTGAACATCGTCACTGGGGAGGCAAAGGCGGTCGGGCGTGGTGCTGGCCACACCCACCCCCTCGTGTACCGTTCCGGCCTTCATAGGTGCTCGCTAACAGTCTGAGGCTATACGGAGGATCTTTGTCTTTTGTGTGTGCGTGTGCAAGCGCACCGCCTGTTTGGACAAGGCGAACGGAGGAGAGAGTCGGGGGGGGGGGGGTTGCAAGCCATTTAAATCTTTCACCCATTGTGACAACTTTGGCCGTGGTAGCGAGACGTGCTTATGGCACCAAAGGTCCCCCCACTGCAGCCGCACTGCGAAAATGAACGCCGTCTCGGCCTCCGAGCCACGACTGCGGAACGGTTGGCGCCGATCCCCCCCTCCCGCGTCTCGACGCTGCCCGCGTTTGTTCCGCGGCTCCACTGCGTCGCTTCATCTTATCACCCCCCACCACCCCCCCCCCCCACCCCCGGCTCTCCCAGCTGCCCCAACGAGCCGGAGGTGGTGCTCCACGGCGTCAACGGGAACGGCTCGGCGGTGCGCTTCAGCCTGCTGGCCTTCCGCTTCGTGAGCGAGGCGCGGCGGCGGCAGCAGCAGCGACGCGTCGTGGTGCCACTGCCCGACGTCTACCTGCACTGCCTCGTGCGCGTGTGCGTCCACGCCAGGAGCGCCACCGCCGATCTCTGCGCCACGGTGAGACGCGCGCACGCACGTGGGGCGCTCCTCCGCGACAAACGGATTATTTATAATTGTCTTGGTCCCAGCCGTTGGTGACCGGGCTGGGTCCATCAACTCCGTCAGACTTGAGAAACCCCGCTTGGCACTCTGACCACTGAGCCGCTCGGCCACCTGTGAAATAAAAACTATAGTTTAACAGCGAATCGCAACACGCGACGGCCTGTTGCGTCGCCACGTTGACCCTCTGTCAACCCCCCCCGTAGAATTGCTCGGTGGCGGTGAGGACTGCCAGGGCGGCGGGCCTTCGCCCCCCACCAATGGAGGGGCTCGTGACGTTCGGACCGATCCGCATGGCCCAGTTGGACACCGTGGCGGGAGTGGGGCGCGACGCTGAGCACAGCACGTTCGGTAAGCGGTGAGGTGGGGTACGAGGTGGGGTACGAGGTGGGTACGAGGTGGGGGTACGAGGTGGGGTACGAGGTGGGGTACGAGGTGGGGTACGAGGTGGGGTACGAGGTGGGGTACGAGGTGGGGTACGAGGTGGGGTACGAGGTGGGGTACGAGGTGGGGTACGAGGTGGGGTACGAGGTGGGGTACGAGGTGGGGTACGAGGTGGGGTACGAGGTGGGGTACGAGGTGGGGTACGAGGTGGGGTACGAGGTGGGGGTACGAGGTGGGGTACGAGGTGGGGTACGAGGTGGGGTACGAGGTGGGGTACGAGGTGGGGTACGAGGTGGGGTACGAGGTGGGGTACGAGGTGGGGTACGAGGTGGGGTACGAGGTGGGGTACGAGGTGGGGGTACGAGGTGGGGTACGAGGTGGGGTACGAGGTGGGGTACGAGGTGGGGTACGAGGTGGGGTACGAGGTGGGGTACGAGGTGGGGTACGAGGTGGGGTACGAGGTGGGGTACGAGGTGGGGTACGAGGTGGGGTACGAGGTGGGGTACGAGGTGGGGTACGAGGTGGGGTACGAGGTGGGGTACGAGGTGGGGTACGAGGTGGGGTACGAGGTGGGGTACGAGGTGGGGTACGAGGTGGGGTACGAGGTGGGGTACGAGGTGGGGTACGAGGTGGGGTACGAGGTGGGGTACGAGGTGGGGTACGAGGTGGGGTACGAGGTGGGGTACGAGGTGGGGTACGAGGTGGGGTACGAGGTGGGGTACGAGGTGGGGTACGAGGTGGGGTACGAGGTGGGGTACGAGGTGGGGTACGAGGTGGGGTACGAGGTGGGGTACGAGGTGGGGTACGAGGTGGGGTACGAGGTGGGGTACGAGGTGGGGTACGAGGTGGGGTACGAGGTGGGGTACTAGGTGGGGTACGAGGTGGGGTACGAGGTGGGGTACGAGGTGGGGTACGAGGTGGGGTACGAGGTGGGGTACGAGGTGGGGTACGGGGTACGAGGTGGAGTACGAGGTGGGTACGAGGTTGCGTGGTACGAGGTGGGGTACGAGGTGGGGCTACGAGGTGGGGTACGAGTTTGGGGTACGAGGTGGGGTACGCGGTGGGGTAGGTGGGGTACGAGTGGGGTACGAGGTGGGGTACGAGGTGGGGGTACGAGGTGGGTACGAGGTGGGGTACGAGTGGGGTACGAGGTGGGGTACGAGGTGGGGTACGAGGTGGGGTACGAGGTGGGGTACGAGGTGGGGTACGAGGTGGGGTACGAGGTGGGTACGAGGTGGGGTACGAGGTGGGGTACGAGGTGGGGTACGAGGTGGGGTACGAGGTGGGGTACGAGGTGGGGTACGAGGTGGGGTACGAGGTGGGTACGAGGTGGGGGTACGAGGTGGGTGTACGAGGTGGGGTACGAGTGGGGTACGAGGTGGGGTACGAGGTGGGGTACGTGGTGGGTTACGTGGTGGGGTACGAGGTGGGGTACGAGGTGGGGTACGAGGTGGGGTACGAGGTGGGGTACGAGGTGGGGTACGAGGTGGGGTACGAGGTGGGGTACGAGGTGGGGTACGAGGTGGGGTACGAGGTGGGGTACGAGGTGGGGTACGAGGTGGGGTACGAGGTGGGGTACGAGGTGGGGTACGAGGTGGGGTACGAGGTGGGGTACGAGGTGGGGTACGAGGTGGGGTACGAGGTGGGGTACGAGGTGGGGTACGAGGTGGGGTACGAGGTGGGGTACGAGGTGGGGTACGAGGTGGGGTACGAGGTGGGGTACGAGGTGGGGTACGAGGTGGGGTACGAGGTGGGGTACGAGGTGGGTACGAGGTGGGGTACGAGGTGGGGTACGAGGTGGGGTACGAGGTGGGGTACGAGGTGGGTACGAGGTGGGGTACGAGGTGGGGTACGAGGTGGGGTACGAGGTGGGGTACGAGGTGGGGTAACGAGGTGGGGTACGAGGTGGGGTACGAGGTGGGGTACGAGGTGGGGTACGAGGTGGGGTACGAGGTGGGGTACGAGGTGGGGTACGAGGTGGGGTAGAGTGGGGTACGAGGTGGGTAGGTGGGTACGAGGTGGGGTACGAGGTGGGGTACGAGGTGGGGTACGAGGTGGGGTACGAGGTGGGGTACGAGGTGGGGTACGAGGTGGGGTACGAGGTGGGGTACCGAGGTGGGGGTACGCGGTGGGGTACGAGGTGGGGTACGAGGTGGGGTACGAGGTGGGGTACGAGGTGGGGTACGAGGTGGGGTACGAGGTGGGGTACGAGGTGGGGTACGAGGTGGGGTACGAGGTGGGGTACGAGGTGGGGGTACGAGGTGGGGTACGAGGTGGGGTACGAGGGTGGGGTACGAGGTGGGGTACGAGGTGGGGTACGAGGTGGGGTACGAGGTGGGGTACGAGGTGGGGTACGAGGTGGGGTACGAGGTGGGGTACGAGGTGGGGTACGAGGTGGGGTACGAGGGTGGGGTACGAGGTGGGGTACGAGGTGGGGTACGAGGTGGGGTACGAGGTGGGGTACGAGGTGGGGTACGAGGTGGGGTACGAGGTGGGGTACGAGGTGGGGTACGAGGTGGGGTACGAGGTGGGGTACGAGGTGGGGTACGAGGTGGGGTACGAGGTGGGGTACGAGGTGGGGTACGAGGTGGGGTACGAGGTGGGGTACGAGGTGGGGTACGAGGTGGGGTACGAGGTGGGTACGAGGTGGGGTACGAGGTGGGGTACGAGGTGGGGTACGAGGTGGGGTACGAGGTGGGGTACGAGGTGGGGTACGAGGTGGGTACGAGGTGGGGTACGAGGTGGGGTACGAGGTGGGGTACGAGGTGGGGTACGAGGTGGGGTACGAGGTGGGGTACGAGGTGGGGTACGAGGTGGGGTACGAGGTGGGGTACGAGGTGGGGTACGAGGTGGGGTACGAGGTGGGGTACGAGGTGGGGTACGAGGTGGGGTACGAGGTGGGGTACGAGGTGGGGTACGAGGTGGGGTACGAGGTGGGGTACGAGGTGGGGTACGAGGTGGGGTACGAGGTGGGGTACGAGGTGGGGTACGAGGTGGGGTACGAGGTGGGGTACGAGGTGGGGTACGAGGTGGGGTACGAGGTGGGGTACGAGGTGGGGTACGAGGTGAGGTGGGGTACGAGGTGGGGTACGAGGTGGGGTACGAGGTGGGGTACGAGGTGGGGTACGAGGTGGGGTACGAGGTGGGGTACGAGGTGGGGTACGAGGTGGGGTAGGGGGGTACGAGGTGGGGTACGAGGTCCCCGCAGGAAGTGGCTGTTGCGGAACTGCCAAGATGCCTGCAAGTGACCTGGTACCCCGCCCACGCTCGCTCTGCATACGAGAGGGTAACGTCCGTCACACGACATCTAAACCGATTCTTTTTAGTGATCAGAGCTGGAATTTCGCCGAATTAAGCGCCGAAGCCGATTTATTTTGCTAGAAGTATGTTTTTTTTTATTGAACAAATGATTTCGGTAGATACACAGAGGGCATGCATGGGAATTGACACCAGTATAGACACCAATGCCAAGTCCCGACGATTATCACCGACGTTTTATATTTAGAACCTGTCGAATGTGGGACCAAATTTCAAATACCGTGTATTTGAAATTTGGGCTTGTGCGATGACCGGGTCCAGACCATCGACACCCAGTTTAGTCGCAGGCGGCTAAAACTTGGACTTTTAATCCAAATCCACGTCGGTGCGGGCTCTGGGCTCTGACCCGCCACCATCACCTGGGAGCGTTTGCCACCACCCCCCCCCCCCGCTCCTCGTCTGTGTCGTCGTGCACCACCAGCCCTGCAGGTGGTGGTGCTGCTCACCGTGGGCGGCTCGTCGCTCGCTGTCGTCATGCTGCTGGGTGGCGCCGTCGCTCTGTGGAGCCATCGGCGCCGCCGCCAGCGCCATCCGCCACCCCCTACCCCTACCGCACTGAGCGCCGCCGGTGGACGACGAGGAAGTGAATCCCAGGAGAGGAGGGGGACCATGGTAGGGGGGGGGGGAGATTTGAATTGTGAAATGTTCAATGTGCTATTTGGGTGGTGATGCTGCTGCTGCGTCGGCGGTGGTGGTGCACGAGCGGAGACAAACTGAACGCGTTCGTCGGTAAGATTTTTGCCTGATGAAGCTGGTTGTAATTACTGGCGGAACGTCGTGCTAGTGACGAATTGGCCACTTTCTGTTTCCGTGACACAACCCTTGCTAGTTGTCCGTGTCGGATGGTGGCGGCTTTAACGACGCACTTATATTTACGCGATCTAACAACAACAAAAAAACACTACTATGGTTGACAAGTTGTGTTAATTGCCAATGGCGAGGCGTTGTGTTATCGATTCAAAGTAGCGTTGTTGTTAATGCGCGAAAGGGCCAGGGCGTGGTGAGGCTTCTTCAGAGACCGGAAAATCTCGTGAAGAAGGAAACTGCCTGTGGCGGGAGAAGTGAATGTTGTGCAACCTTCTCTTTATGCGGCTCGGCACACGGTGGTGGTGGTGTTGGTGGTGATGGTGGTGGGATTTCGTGGCGCGTGTTGGCTGTCGTGGCGGAAGGACTCCGCGTGTGTGAAATGTGCGCGGTGGTTGTGCCATTAAACTTGGCGTGCGGTGCCCTCTCGCTCTCGCGTGCGTCCCACCACGTGGTTGAAGCGAGCGGTGTGGCCCAATAGTTTGAGTGTGACGACTGGACGGCACTTGCCCCCCAAACAGTCTTGTTACAGGCGACACGGTGGGGGGGGGGTCTTTTTTGTGGGGTAGGGAGGTCATTAACGCCACTACCACCATAGCATCCCGTTGTATTTGAGCAGCTTGATTCCTGTACCTGGACACGAGACAAAGATCCCCCTGTGTCGCCTGTAACAGACTGTAGGGGCAAGTGCTATTAGCGAGCACCTTACGAAGGACGGCACGGCACACGAGGAGGTGGGTGGCCAACACCACGCCCGGCCGCCTTTGTCTCCCGAGTGGCGATGTTTTTACACACCGCACCAGATACTCATTTGAGGCCGAGTCGACCTAGGGGAGGCCCAAGACCGGTTCCGATAATCGTCACCGGTGTTGGACGTGAACGGGATTCGAACCCAGGTCTCCAGTTTCGTAGCACGGCGTAGCGCTAACCGCGACAGACTTCAATGGCGGAGCTAGGATTTTCAGGTGGAGGGGCAACCCCTCCAGCAATGAGAAATTATAGAGGAGTTAAGTAAGGAGTTGTAAGTAAGGAGTTGTCTCTTGATTTTTTTTCGACGTGTGCGGCGATGGTACAGCCATCGATCGAGGGTCGAATTCGAACCGCGTTGTGTGATGGGCATCGCGCTCGCTGAAGGTGTTGATGCCTTCAGGGAAGTCGTGGCCTCTGTAGACGCAACTGTGCACAATTCTGCGAGTCGCTTATAGCTGCTTTGCCGTTACTTATTGCCAGTTATGGACTCGGACTATTGTCCTATCATCTCATAGTCTCTGGCACGTCATAATATGCTACACAGTGGCAGTGGGGGTCGCAAAATGCCGATTTATTACTAGTAAACCCCAATGATCCGATCGAAATTGGGGATTTCGATCCGATCATGGGGGGGGGGGGGGGGGCACGTGCCACCCGACAGTTCCCCAATACCTGACGCACGCACCAGAGCCGCCCCCCGGTATGCGTAGAGCCTTGGAGGCAGTGAAGCTGCAAGAACATGGACACAGAGGAGCGACCGAGTAGGACAAGCTGGCCCCACGGGCTCTGCCATCTCCGTTCATTCCTCCCCCCACCCCCGAGCAGCACTGGAACCCAACGGTCTGTTAAGGCTCTACGGGGGACCAATGTGTACACACACGTACACACAGGTGTGTGTACACACACTTGTATGCCTCTGTGCACACACGGGTGTGTATCCACGTGGCACAGCAGGGGTCACAGCTGGTGGGTCTGCCAGTCATCTCAGTCGGGCAACCCACGGCAACTGCTGGGTCTGTCCCATGCCCTCCTGGCAGGAGCGAGCCTCCGACACTTCGCGTTGGCCGCCGAGTGCACCTAGCCTGGCACAGGCGCCGCGGTGACGTCGGTGCCACTTGGTGACGAACACTGGCTGTTGTGTACACCTGCGTGTTAACGCACCCGTGTGATCACCTGTGTTAACCTGTGTCAAAACAACCGTGTGCTCACCTGCGTGTTAACACACCCGTGTGCGCACATGTGTGTGGAGCTGCGGGTTAGCGCGCTGCCCTACGAACCCGGCCTCACAGAGTTCGATTCCCGCTCACGCCCGGTGCCGGTGACGATTGTCTGAACCGGTCCTGGGCCTCACCGAGGCCGACTCGGAGCCAAATGAGTGCCTGGTGCGACGCGTGATCATCGCCGCTGGGGAGACGAAGGCGGCCGTGCGTGGTTCTCGCCAACAGCTACTTGCACAAGCAGTCCGATGAGGGTACACGGGGGCGGTCTTTGTATGATATGTCCACCTGCATGTGTGCGCACCTGTCTACACGCCGGGATGTGCACGTGTTCGCCTGTGTGCACGTGTTCACCTGTGGTGAGCCTCGCCCCCTGCAGCAGCAGCAGCAGCGAGGCGCAGTGATCCGCGGTGCCCGCCAGGTGGCGCCACGAGGTGCAAGTGGAGCCCTGGGGCCCACTCACAGCAGTGCCACCCACCATTCTACACAGTCAGCAGTGCCACCCACCACTCTACACAGTCAGCAGTGCCACCCACCACTCTACACAGTCAGCAGTGCCACCCACCACTCTACACAGCAGTGCCACCCACCACTCTACAGTCAGCAGTGCCACCCACCACTCTACAGTCAGCAGTGCCACCCACCACTCTACACTCAGCAGTGCCACCCACCACTCTACACTCAGCAGTGCCACCCACCACTCTACTCAGCAGTGCCACCCACCACTCTACACAGCAGTGCCACCCACCACTCTACACAGCAGTGCCACCCACCACTCTACACAGCAGTGCCACCCACCACTCTACACAGTCGGCAGTGCCACCCACCACTCTACACAGCAGTGTCACCCACCATTCTACACAGTCAGCAGTGCCACCCACCACTCTACACAGTCAGCAGTGCCACCCACCACTCTACACAGTCAGCAGTGCCACCCACCACTCTACACAGCAGTGCCACCCACCACTCTACACAGTCGGCAGTGCCACCCACCACTCTACACAGCAGTGTCACCCACCACTCTACACAGTCAGGAGTGCCACCCACCACTCTACACAGCAGTGCCACCCACCACTCTACACGGCAGTTCCACCCACCACTTGACAGTCAGCAGTGCTACCCACCACCACAGACAGCAGTGCCACCCACCACTCTACAGTCAGTGCCACCCACCACTCTACAGTCAGTGCCACCCACCACTCTACAGTCGGCAGTGCCACCCACCACTCTACAGTCGGCAGTGCCACCCACCACTCTACACAGCAGTGCCACCCACCACTCTACACAGACAGCAGTGCCACCCACCACTCTAGTCAGTGCCACCCACCACTCTACCCAGTCAGCAGTGCCACCCACCACTCTACCCACATAGCAGTGCCACCCACCACTCTACATAGTCGGCAGTGCCACCCACCACTCTACAGTCGGTGCCACCCACCACTCTACAGACAGCAGTGCCACCCACCACTCTACAGACAGCAGTGCCACCCACCACTCTACACAGCAGTGCCACCCACCACTCCACACAGTCAGCAGTGCCACCCACCACTTGACAGTCAGCAGTGCCACCCACCACTTGACAGTCAGCAGTGCCACCCACCACTTGACAGTCAGCAGTGCCACCCACCACTTGACAGTCAGCAGTGCCACCCACCACTTGACAGTCAGCAGTTCCATCCACCACTTGACAGTCAGCAGTGCCACCCACCAATCTACACAGACAGCAGTGCCACCCACCACTCTACAGTCAGTGCCACCCACCACTCTACCCAGTCAGCAGTGCCACCCACCACTCTACCCACACAGCAGTGCCACCCACCACTCTACACAGTCGGCAGTGCCACCCACCACTCCACACAGTCGGCAGTGCCACCCACCACTCTATACAGTCAGTGCCACCCACCACTCTATACAGTCAGTGCCACCCACCACTCTACACAGACAGCAGTGCCACCTACCACTTGACACGCGGTGTCTGTACGCTGTGTGCGTGCACGTGGTGTCTGTACTGTGCACACGTGGTGAATGGCGGTGTTACACGTGGTGAATGTGCGGTGTACACGTGTTGAATGCACTGTGTACACGTGGTGATGTTAAACATCATCAGCGCTGCCTGTGATCTCGCCTGCTGCTGCTGCACCATCCCAGCCCACGCGTCCCCGTTACGACGAGGGAGCCCCCAACCCACACCCCGTTGCGGTTTCCTTGCCCGGCAGAGAACCCCCTGGGCGAGCGCCTCTACGGAGTCGGAGCCGCGTGCGGCACGTGGGGTCCAGCCGCCGCGAGGGGGAGACATTTCACCGACAGTCTGGGGCCAGCTGCGTTCGCACGATCCATTGTTAACTGAAACTACTCGGTTTAACTCGAAGGAGTAGGAGGCTTTCGCGAGCAATCGGTGGCGGATGAGCCTCGTAGCAAAACGCTACGGGCCCCGCACTTTCAAGGACCCCGCGCTAAACGCTTTCAAGCTTTAAATTCCGGTTCAGCGATTCTGCACTTGCTCAATTATTATAGTACTATACCGCCTTCGACTTTTATGAACGACTGGGTGTTTAAGGTTAGCGATTGATTGTATTATCTGGCCGCATAGAAACGGAAAAAATACAATAACTATGCGAGTTAAAAATGTGTTTTAATATTTGTGTTGTTTGTTTAATTTAGGGCCCCTTTCTAACATCATGCTAGAGGCCGCGCACGAGCTTAATCCGGAACTGCGACCAATATCATCCATAAAATAGTTGTTTTGGGTTATATCGCGTAAGTATATTAATGTGTCCTTAAATCCGCCACCTACTGACACAGCCAACTAGTCAGGGTTGTGTCACGTAAACAGCCTTCGCCTCTCCTTTTTTTACGATCAGAGGAAACAAGAAGATGCTCGGTGTAGTCGGCCCTTTGCTTCGTTCATCATTTCGGTTTTTTTTCTTCTTCAACGCTTTGCTTTATGTGCCCCCTGCCCCCCTTTTCAAATGAAATATTTCACGAAAGATGTCACGCTCTGCTCTCCTCCTTCTTACCCCTCCCCTCTCTCTACCCCCCCCCCCTCTCTCTCTACCCCCTCTCTCCCTACTCTGTCTATGTTCCCCCTGTTTTCTATGTAATTTTTTTACTACGACAAGTGCTGCGCGTTCTCACTAAGTCCACGATTTAATTTCGCGAGTTGACGCGCCCCAGGGCTCCAGAGCATCGCCGCATGGCCGCGTGCCACGTCGAGGTCAGGGCTCTTGAGCCGGACATTCAGAGCCGCCACACGGACGGGAACCAGGGAGAGAAACAGGAGCCCCCCACCCCCCCCCCCTAAATATGTACAGCCACCGGAGACCTGGAGCCACGCCGCTCTGGGTTGAGAGGGGTCACTCCCTTCCCGATGCCGGATTCACCCGGAGACCCACATTCCGACCCGTAACGAAGTCTCCATTGCGTCTCCCCCCCCCCCACCTTCCCTCCCCTCCCTCTG